AGGGTCAGTAGAAACAGAAACCAATGGGGCAGAATCCAGGGGCAACTGACTGCAGTAGACAGAATCTTCAGGTTAGAGGAGAAACCAACTTTCCCTGATTACCCACTATGTGCCAGGCATAATGCTAGGTGCTTCCCATACCATAACTCATATAATCCTCGTAACAACTCTGAGTGGAACACAGCATTAGCTCCACTTTACAGATGAGGTTCTGAAAGTGACCTAATCAAGGGCACAGATCAGTGGCAGAACCAGACCTAAAACCTGATCATTCCTAAGTCCATGTCACATCCACACAATGATGCTTCTGAAATCTTCAGGGCCACGCAAATGGGCAGGGCATGGGGAGCTACTCCTGGTAATAAGTCACCTGCAATGATAAAGATGCTGCAGAACAAACCTGAAGACGCGAGCTTCTTAACCACACCACTCAATACGACCAACTGCCCAAGCCAAGACCAAGGGTTTCAACAAGTAGGAATAAGGACCTTAATCCAAGAACACCAAAATCCCAGAAAGGTGGTTACGAGATAAGAACAGCAAAGAACAAGGATGAAGAGAGACCCAGGAGGGAAGAGGATGAAGGCAACTGTTTCAGACATACCTGACTTAAGAGTTTTCCCAATTCCTTAGAAAGGAAGCCACTAGAAATTACAAAGCCTACTGTACAGCAGCCCTTGTTTATTGCATATGTTGTTGTTGCTGCTGTTATGTGCCGTCGAGTCTGCCCCGACTCATAGCGACCCCTCCTTGTGTTTCTGAGGCAGTATCACTACGGGAGTAGGATTGCCCAACCTTCCTTCTGAGGAGTGGCTGGTGGGTTTGAACCGCCAGCCTTCTGGTTAGCAGTCAAGTGCTTTAGCCACTATGCTATAAGTTACACTTAAAACCTTTGACACCTGGCTTGTTCTAAACTCAATCAATCCCTCAACAGAAGAATGGATAAGCAAAATGTGGTACATGCATACAAGGGAATGGTGTCAGCTGCCTTCCAATCAGTTTTGACTCCTAGCAACGCCATGTGCAACAGAACAAAACACTGCCCAGCCCTGTGCCGGCCTCACACACTTTGCTGTGCTTGAACCCATCGTGGCAGCCACCGTGTCAGTCCGTCTCATTGAAGCTTCTTCCCTTTTTCGCTGACCCTCTACTTTTACCAAGCATGACATCCTTCTCCAGGACTGGTCCCTTCTGACAACATGACCAAAGTAGGTGAGACAAGTCTGGACATTCTCGCTTCCAAGAAGCATTCCAGCTGCACTTCTTCCAGAACAGATGTGTTCATTCTTCCGGCAGTCCACGTCCTGGTAGTCGTTATTCTTCACCAACACCACAATTTAAACGCATCAATTCTTTTTTTTTTTAAGGTAAATAATATTTTAATGAAAAATTTTTTTAAATTGTGATCTTGGTGAAAGTCTACAGAGCAAAATCATTTTTCATACAATGATTCACACACACTGTTTCATGATACTGACCGTAACCCCATGATGTAGCAGCTCTTTTCCCACTTCCTCCCTGTGGTTACCTTTTCTGTATCCTTCTTTCCTATGCCCTCAGAGCTATCTCCCTGTAAATGCATCAATTCTTCTCCGATCTTTCTTATTCATTGTTCAGCTTTTACATGCAGAGGAGGCGACTGAAAATACCAAAGCCTGATTCAGGTATACCTTAGTCTTCAAAGTGACATCTTTGCTCTTTAACATTTTAAAGAGGTCTCTTGCAGCAGTAAGTCATTTGATTTCTCGACTGCTGCTTCCACAGGCACTGATGTGAACCCAAGTCAAATGGAATATTACTCAGCCATGAAGAGAAATGAAGTTCTGATACATGCTACAACATGGATAAACCTTGAAAACATCACACCAAGTGAAATAAGCCAGACACAAAAAGACAAGTACTGTATGACCCTACTGATATGACATACCTAGAACAGGCAAGGGAGGTCTGGTAGCGTAGTGCCTAAGGCACTTACTTGACTGCTAACCAGAAGGCTGTCGGTTCAAACCCACCAACCACTCCTCGGAACAAAGGTTAGGCAATCTACTTCCGTAGTGATACTGCCTTGGAAACCCAAGGAGGGGTCGCTAAGAGTTGGGTCTGACTTGACAGCACATAACAACAACAACAGAACAGGCAAATGCATAGCAGCAGAAAATAGATTAGTGGTTACCATGGTTCAGGGAAGGGGAAAATGGGAGCTACTACTTAATAAGAGCCTTCTCTAAACTCCCCAAGTGAGGTTCAGAGCCCCTCCTGTGTTTCCAAAGCACCCTATCCTTACCACTGCATTAGTTTCCTACCCTTCTCCCCAGCCAGACTATGAGCTTTGTGATAGGGCGACTTGCCTGGTCTTAATCCATCACAGTATCCCTAGACACCCCCAGCTCCCAACCCCCAACCCAGGCAGACAGCCTGGCACAGAGCATCTATTTGAAAATGTTTATTGAGGAATGGAGGAACTTTCTATGCAAAGCCAGAAGGGGGCCTTTGTTTTGCTAAACCCACAGGGAGCTCTGGTGGTGTAGTGCCTAAGGCATTTGGCTGGCGGTTCAAACCCACCAGCCACTCCTCAGAAGGAAGATGGGGCAGTCTACTTCCATAGTGATACTGTGATACCGCCTCGGAAACCCAAGGAGGGGTCACTATGAGTCAGGTCCGACTTGACGGCACGTAACAACAACAACAACAGCTAAATACAACTCCTAATTACAGGTATTAGTCATCTGAGTCTGGAATAAGAGGGATCAGTGAGCTTCCCCTTTAAATTACAAGCACCCTGGCCCCCTCTTTAATACGCATGCTGACTCCAAAATTAGCACTAGGTGCCAAGAGCATTTCCTACAAGCATCCCACAGAAAGACCAGACCACCTGCAAAGAGAAACAATGCATTTAGTAGCTCAGAAAAATGAAAAATTTCAGTGACTTATAAAGAGTTGAAAGGGAGATATAAGAACAGTGTGGCCATTTCAATTTCAACTGCTAAATTTACACTTGAAAATGCTACAATAAAAAATATAAATACCATAAAAATCTAACAGCAGCCAAAGGACCACAGTCATAAAGAAAAAAACATAAATCCTAAAAAGATATTGGCATGGAAGGCTCTCCCTCACCTTCAAGAAAACACATCTGAGCAAAGGAAACATGAATCACACAGCAGAGTAGAAAAAAATAAGAAAAAAATCTAACAGTAAGGAGGACAAACAGCTAACACGTGGAACGTGCTGCATGAGGCAGATGTGCTTCACGTATATCCGCTCATCTGATCCTGTCGACAGCCCTGTGAAGGAGGTATCATCCCCAATGTAAAGATGTGGGAAGCACAGAGAGGTGAAGTGACCAGCCGAGGTCACACAGCAAGGGACAAGCTGTCTGGCTTCAGAGCCCATGGTTCTACAGCAACACAGACTGCCTCAGACAAGAGCTCTGTCACTTCCCAGCCCTGGCCTCAGCTTCTCCTACATATGTTGTTGTGGTTGTTGTCATGCGCCATGGAGCCAGACCCGACTCATAGTGACCCCTCCTTGGGTTTCCGAGGCAGTATCACTACAGAAGTAGATTCAATTCTAAGGTTCTTTCCAGCTCAAAAGGTAGACAATAAAAGGTGAAACCAAAATTCTAAGATTCGACTCAATGTTCCCATCTAGAAATAAAATTCAAAACGGTGCTCTTCAAAACTGATATAACAACTCTGGATCTTGGAGGGCTGCTTTAATATTCAAGTAAGGTATATAAAGAGTATAACACTTCAAGTGCCCAGCTTAGAGCAGGAGCTCAAAAAGCAGCAGCTATTATTACTGTTATGATAAAACAGGAACAACCAGTTAACAGTACAGCACATTTTAATTATACACGATGTAGAATAATCAAATCTCATTCGTGTGAGGCCCCAGACCCCACAGCATAGATCGAGTTGTACCACTGAAATGATAACAACTCAAATCTCAGAAATTACTTGTTTCCATTAGAGATCTGACAAGTCATTTCTTCAATTGGTCACTAGTGGTTTGCAGATAACTATTAGCAGTAATGAGTATTCTAAATTAAATCCAGAGACAGTCCCGCTCTGCTCTGTAAAGACAACTGGGGAGAGGGAAACATAATTGTGGAATGTCCTTCTCTCTGTGTCCTCCATCTTCTCCCTGATAAATATCTCCTGTGTCTGGCATAGTATGGATTTCATTTGGTTACAAATGAAGAAGGGTCTAATTCTTCCCATGATAAATGAGAGCGCTGAATAGGTAACTTGTTAAGGAGAATTGGAATTGGGAAAATAACCTTATTTTCCTGTTACTTGACAACGAACCCCCTCCACTAACAAATGAAACACGCAATGCTGGCAGGCATTAGGCACTGAAGTCAAATCTATCACTGGGTAATCCATTCTCAGACAATGACTTCACAGCACTGGGTAGAGGATGCTCACGTTTCACTCAACAGCAGCAAAGATGAAGCCTACAAAATGCAAGGAGGCAGCACAACGCAGGGGAAAGAAAAATGGCTTCGGAGTCATTAAAAACCTGGATTCAAACCCCAGCTCTGCCACTTACATGTATTATACGACCTCAAACAAGTCTCTCCTAGACTTGAGTCCTTATTTGTAAAATGGGGAAATATAAAATACCTCAAGGAGCTGTAGCGAGGATTACATGGGGACCAATAAGTAGCATATCTTACACACAGTAGGCTCTTGACCAATGTTAGCTCTCCTCCACTATCAGAACAACTCACCTCTAGGACACGAGAAATGCACCAAACTCCCCAAAGTTTAGAAATCGCTGATCCTGTCAGAACCCAAGTACAAAAGGACAAGAACTCCGTATGAAAGGGCTGGCTGCATGGCTAGGTAGCAGCCTCACACAGAATGTCCACTAGCCACACATCCACCCTAACGCTGGCATTATTCAGCTCAGACGGGCCTCACAAAACACAGTTCCCTTCTGGGTCTGGACGGATGCGCAGCTGACATGATTTATCAGGGGCAATGATCACTTACATTTTCAAAGTCCTTCATGTTCCGTGCTCTCGTGGGAGATACTGTTTCTTCTGATACATTTGGGAGCACTATGAAAGGCAAAAAAAGACACAGAAAAACATCATGGCAGGCAAATTTCCCAACATTCCTACTGAGACATAGAGCCTAGAGAAGGAAAATATAAACTGCCACAGTGCATCATGCTATATTTTCTGTCTACTGTGATTTACTGATCTTGGTCTTCAGAAAGCTCTAGACCATTTTATTTACAAATTACTTAAGCTAATTCCAGCGTATAATGTCTGTTAGAGGACAAATCAGAAAATGCACTAGACATGAGACAGAGCAGAACTGTCCTGATATGTACTTCCTTACTGCTTGTCATAGATTTTTTACTGAACAGAATACCATCTTTGCATGTTAGTAATTAAAACAAGCATGTCTACTTTAAAGCAGGGGTCGGCAATTTATTTTAGGCAATGCAGGCCATATGCAAAGCCCAACTACTCACATCACACAGCCACAGACAATTCATACACAAATAAGAATGGCTGTGTGCCAATAAAACTTTATTTTTGAAAGCAGGGAGCAGCCCAGATGTGGCCCACAGGCTGACAAACCTCTGCTTTAGAGGTTGCCAATATCCAGATCTTTCCACAGCCTCTTTAATCCAACAAATACTCATTACACATCTACTCGGTGCCCAGCACCATGCTAGGTGCTACTTTCCCAGTCAGTGGTGAAGAACACACTGATCCTGCACCGTTTCCTTGTCCAGTGACTAACACAGAGATGTAAACACACCATTATCACTTTTTTGAGTAAATGTGTTTTGGGTGGATGAATGGATTCATTCTTTCAACAAACATGCACTCAGTGCCCACTCTTCTCCAGGCACCACTGTAGATATGGTGACAAACAAACAAAAGACAATTGGAACCAATATTCTAGGGGGAGGAGCAAAATAATAGACCATAAATGCTACAGAGCTATATAAAGTGGTTATGCACAGGAAATACTAAGGTAATGGTTGCAGTTTTAAATGGCATGGTTATGGAAGGTCTCATTGAGAAGATGCTATGTGGACAAAAACTGGGAAAGACAGAGCCAGATACCTAGGGGGAGAATGTTCCAGATAAAGGGAGAAGCCTCATGGGTCTAATGTACCACTAGGAGGCCAATGGGCTGGAGATCATTATCAAAGGATATGGAGAGAGAAGGCTGGAGAAGTATTGGGGGCCAGACTGTGTATAAGCCACTTAGGCTCTTCCAAGGTCTGTGAGGAGCCTCTGGAGGACCCCAAGCTAAGGAGTGACAAGATCAAACTTGGGTTTCTACAGGCTCTCTCTGGCTTCCACACTGAAAACAGACTGACTGGGGCTGAGGACACAAGTAAGACCAGTTAGTAGACTACTAGAATAATGCACAGCAGAGATGATGATGGCTTGGACCAGGGTGACAGCAGTATAAGTGAGTAAGAAGTGGTCTGATTCTGGCTATTTTGAAAGTAACTCAAAGGAATCAATTAAATGAAATGCAATATGTAAGGTTCAGAAGGAGAGTGCACTGGAGAGAGCCTAAGAAGGTGGTGAGCTTTGAGCAGAGTCTTAAAGAAATGGAGGCAGCAAGCAGCCATCCAAGGCATAACAATTGGCCTCTATCTGCCTGGAGCAACAGAGGAAGGAGGAGAGGCAGGAACAGGAGGAAGATACGGAAAGTGTGGCTAATTTGCTCCATGAACAACTGCCTCCTTTGCCATGACACCAGAAGAACTGGAGGGTGCCAGGTACCATTACTAAACATTTTGATCATCTATAGAAGATCTATGGGAGCTCTGGTAGCATAGTGCCTAAGGCACTTGACTGCTAAGCAGAAGGCTGACAGTTCAAACCCACCAGCCACTCCTCAGAAGGATGATGGGGCAATCTACTTCTGTAGTAATACTGCCTCGGAAACCCAACGAGGGGTAGCTATGAGTCGAGTCTGACTCAACGGCACATAACAACAACAACAACAACAACATAGAAGATCATAAAAGATTTTTCTATAGACTCTTTGATCAAAAGGGGGGAAATGGAAGATGGTGGAATAGGCAGACAAGCGACACAGACCCTCTTCAACAAAGAAAAGAAAAATCAATTGACAGAGATACAGAAGATAATCCTGGAGCCCTGACTTTGGAAAGGAACTATGCAGAAGTGGATTAGGCACCAACTAGTGGAAAAACCTCAACGAAAACAGTGAGTACAGAGACAGTCAGAGGTGCAGACTTTCAGCTACCCTGACTAGACCAACAGCCTGAATATTTCCAAGAGGTGTTGAGATCTGAGAATTGACCTAAAGATCAACCCTGGTCACCAAGGGCTGCAGGGACAACTGCACTGGTGACCTATGACTAGGATGGGAAACACCAAGGAGGGAGACAACCTGAGCTGTGGACTTTCTGCTGTCCAGAGGGCACAGCTGTTTTGATTGTTTACATGCAGCCATTTTAGATATTTAAAGTGACCAAGGGCACAACCATTTTGAATGTTTATAAGCGACAGACATTTTGGATATTTAAAGTGATCGAGGGTGCAACCATTCTGAATGTTTACAGGCGGTGGCCATTTTGGATATGTAAAGTGACTGAGGGCACAACCATTTTGAACCTTTATAAGTAGCAACCATTTTGGATTTTAAAGTGACAGAATTCTCATTCGGATTCCAGGGACCTAAGAACAGGCTCTGTTTGCCAAGGTCGGCAGGGACACATGAGAGACTGACAACAGGGAAGGAGACAGGGACAGGTGGCGAGTGTATAAGTGCTGTCAAATAGTGAATAGAGGAGCAGAGCACAGTACCCTGCTTGCGCTGCTAACGTACAAAGAAAATGAAAATCATGGGCAAGTCACTCCAACATACAATCACAATTAAATATAAACACAAAAATGTCACAATGCCTTAGAGATGACAGAGCATCAGAGTCCACACAAAGAAGCAAGATAAAGCAGGAGAAACAAGGGACCAGGATACAGATCCAAAACACATCCCTGAGGAAGATGCAGCACTGGAACTCCCTGATAAAGAATTCAAAAGAATTATATTTAGGTATCTTCAATGAACCGAGAGACAGATCAAGGAAAACACAGAAAAAACCCTAGAACAATTACGAAAGACAATACAAGAACAAAATGACAAAATAAATGAAAAATTAGAAATGATACAAAATCTACAGACAGAAATCCAGGAGATTAATACTAGATTTTCAGAAATAGGTAAGATATTGAATGGGCAAAGAAGCAGAATTGAATCAATGGAAGATAGAATTGGTGAGACTGAAGGCAAATGCCTGAACACTTCTTTGGAAAGGGATCAATCAGAAAAAAGATCAAAATGAAATGAAGAAAGCCTAAGGTTCATGTGGGATACCATCAAAAGGAATAACCTACGTGTCATCAGAATTCCAGAACAGGAAGAGACAAATAAAACCACAGAAAAAACTGTCAAATATTTGTTGGAAGAGAATTTTTCTGATATGATGAAAGATGAGAATATATCCATTCGGGAAGTCCAATGAACCCCAAATAAGATAGCGCCCAAAAGAAAATCACCCAGATGTATCATCATCAAACTCACCAAAACTAAAGACAAAGAAAGAATCCTGAAAGCAACATGGGAAAAACGAAGTTACCTACAAGGGGCAACCAATAAGACTAAGCTCGGATTTCTCGGCAGAAACCATGCAGGTGAGAAGACAATGGGATGGTATATATAAAACCCTGAAAGGAAAAATGTCCAACCAAGAATTATGTACCCAGCAAAACTGTCCCTCAAATACAATGGTGAAATTAGGACATTTCTAGATAAGCAGAAATTAAGGGAATTTGTTAAAACCAGACCAAAATTACAAGAGATGCTAAAGGGAGTCCTTTGGACAGAGAAGCAGCAACAGCCAACAACAACTGAATATTAACACACATGATGATATAACCCAGAAACCAACCCAGCTATGGAAGTATCCAAAGTAAATAAGCCTACAAGATTGTAAATAGGGAACCAGAGACACCAACCAACAAATGAGGACAATGACAAACCAAAGAGGGAAAAAACTGTGTCGTTACAGAACTTCTAGATGGTAGGGAAGTCAAGACAACT